CGGCTTTACTTATAGAGTGACAATTTTGTAGCAGCCGCTGCCTCCGTGTATTGTTGGTTAAGATTCCTAGGAGTACTCTACATACAATCCTTATATTTTCAGTCAATTTCAAGAAATGTTAATAAAGGGTTAACGTCGTCCATTTCATGCTAGGTCCATGGAGCTGACAGTTGATGACCAATAAAAGTATACAAAGTATCATACACACTTCACGTAAAGGGAAGCAAGATATTACAGATCAATATTTATTTAAGAAAAAATTACAAAAAAGAATTTTATTAATATACGGGGATGAAAACTGAGTTTGATAGGGAAGGAAACAAATTATGCATTATGCGTTAGAAAGTTGGAATTACATTTTCCGTTGAAAGATTATTACATTTTGGGTTAAAAATGTTATTACATTTTGGGGCGATTCTTAGTGCATCTTGCGTTAGTAATGCAATTTGCGGCGATTATTACAGTTCGCGGAGTAATAGTGGTGTCCTGTAACAAAGTCGTTGTAGTAACAAACCATAGTGTTACAGCTTCTGGGGGCGTGACCAGAAATGATTTGACCTTTGCTCCAAGCAGGAAAATAAAAAGCGAACATCGCTACACAATGAATACAGTTTGAAAAGGACACAAAAGTGTTGTAATGTTATGTGGTGATTAAAAGTGGTAAACAATGCACGTTTAAATTTGCTTGGGCCCTTTTATTCCAAACTATCAATATTCCTGTCTTCATTTACAAAGTCTTTGAGCTAAATTACACGGGATCTTGTGCGCAAGGAAAATATAATTTTGAACATACCAATAAGAGATTTTCACGACTTTGTAGAAAATTCCCTGACCTTGATTTTTTTGTTTGCTTTACCTTGACACGTCCTTACCCGACACTCTGTATATGTTGCTACAAGCAATGAAAGTTAGATTGTTAATATTAAACATTTGGGTACAATATTTCCGCAATTATTAACAAAATAATAACACGTTTTAAAATTTCCCTGTTATTCTCGACATTATTATTGGCCGCTCACACGACAGACGAGCAGATGATTCGGATAAATGGCGTCAGACAAATAATTTGTCTTGATGTGAAAACGGAACGGTTACTTAAATTAAATTTGGGACTAATAATCTGTCTGACCTTAACTGTCTGCCTTTATCCGTCAAGGAGGATAGTTAACCCGCCTCTTTTGTGAAAACGGCTATTACTTTTAAAGAAACAAAATCGAAATATAAGTGAATTACGGGAAACCTAGCTTAATATACGTGGGGCCTGATATGGTAGGTCGGGGCCTGATATGGTAGGTCGGGGCCTGGCTGGGGCCTGATATGGGGGGTGTAATATGGTATGGAACGTTCCAACCTTAGTAGAATTAACGTCCGTATATTTATTTTTTAGACTAGCTGTGCAATGAAGACTCTGGGGTTCTCAATACTTCTTGTCCACATTTATTCCGCCACCTCATCTCAGGTATGTGGAGACATTACTTTCCTAAGTTTCCCAATTTCGGATTTTTTAGAACAATTTTAGCCGTTTATCACCATATTCCATCTCGATACTGAGGCTGTCTTACCTGTTCTTTTTGGAAATTAGACCTTTCCAAAGAAATGAGGACTCGGGTGGACAATTTCATACAAATCACTGTATTTGTCTACCCAAGCCTTGAGTTGGTGCCTTTGTTTACGGGAATGCAGGAAAGGTTTATACGTTACTGGAAAGTGGTCATAGCCACCCTAGAAACCTATAAAATTTGTGTCCCAAATAATCTTATCAACAAACATACTGTCCAAAGGGGGGCAAAACAATTTCAGGTACGAAAACCTCAAATCAAACAAACCTTGGCTGCACAAGATATATGAATTTCTGCTTGCCAAAAGTTGAATCCATTTTCAACACCCAAGAAACCAGAATAATTTTTAGCCCAGTTGAAGAATTGCGACGAGATTTTTCGCCAAATGAACTGAAAAATTTAAACCTTTTTAGGAAGCGGGAAAAGGTTAGCATCCCACGCAGGCGTTTCAGGAGAGCCCGTTTTTTAATCTCTCCCTTGGGGAGGGATGAAAAACGAGCTCCCCTAAAAACGCCTGCGTGGGAGGCTCTAGCCTTTAGGATCAGTCGTTTTTAAAGGGAAACGGACGAGAAAAAAAAAAAAAAAGGACAATTCGAATCACGTCTCTCCTTACTCCAATGGAAGGCTTGCTACTCATCCAATGATCCTCAGCTTTGATCTTTTGCGTTTCAAATGCACCCTGCTGTGTCGAATTCAAGTTCCAGCTGCCCATCTCGAACTCACCCTTCAGTTAATAAACATCCTTTGTTTATTTATTTATCTATCTATCAATTCATAATTTTTTGTAGCACATCTTGCAAATTGAAGAGAAGGGAACAAAATTTGCACAAGGAATCGAAATTGATGAAAAGGAAAAGGTTGCAGTTTTCCGAGTTCCTGCTCACAATGGCATCATCGGCGCTGATTTCTACAATGATTTTAAGATGGTAAGTGCGTGAACTTTTGCAACGACATTTAGCTCCACTGGTTGATTAATCTAGGGATTTTTAAAACTCGTGTCGAGTAGCTGCACAGACCACCTGTCCCATACAAATATTGTGCGAAGCCGAACTCAAAAGATAAGTTTTTGAACTTCGTTCTTTATTTGTTCCCATGCGAACTTTTCTGAGAATAAACAAAACCAAAGAAAAACTTGAAAGCTTCGACAAGAGGACTAGCTATCGTTTTTCGAGCCGCCCCTTAAAATTTACTAGCGAAAGCAAAGTTTGCCTTTCATTTATACACTGGGGCGGTCTTCTTGAGGATCCTTGACGGTTATTCAAATAGAAAACATTTAAGTGAATTAAGCTTCAAGCTAGGCAAGTGGTGTTTGCGCTCGTTTTTCTGTGCAAAGCGAAAAAGGAATTTACAATAATGTTCAAGTCAGTTCTTTCATAAAATTGCTTGAACTTCTGGCCTTAAGCTAAAGGAAGGCAGCAGAAATTTGCTTTTTAACTGAACTATTTATTGTGCATAGAAGCATGAAGCTTATCGATCTGAGAGAGCCCCCAACTCCACGCCTTGCTTTCAGGAGAACCGTGGTCGTCTGTTAGGATCTGAATGCAGTCATGTCCTTATGAAACCCTTGTGCTTTAACAATTTTATTCTGATTTCACTTTTTTTTAGCGTGTAACCGTTACCAGGATTCTGTCTCGAAAAGTCTGTTACATTTCTGAAATGGACTCGACGCTGTCCGCACCAGGAAAACTGAAAGCGGATCTTGCACGGGTAGGCAATTAAAAAATACCTAGTCTCAGGCGAGCACTATCATTTTTATTACAGACAGAATCCAAAAACAACAACATTTATTTTATCCGGCCCCTTTTAATCTTTTACTTTTTCGCGTTGTATCTTACAGGCAACCTCTACAGCAGGGAGCCTAATTTGTAGTTAAGAGTCAAAAAAAAAAAAAAAAAAAAAACGAACCACCCGGGTGGCTTGGGGACTTTTAAGGTTTCATTGGTTTTTTTGTTGTATACCGGCCCACCGCACCGAAACCCAGGAGGATAAGGTTTCTGTTGTTGTGAAAACTTTACTAGAGACTATTACCGGCCAAGACGCGAACACTGNACTGAAAGCGGATCTTGCACGGGTAGGCAATTAAAAAATACCTAGTCTCAGGCGAGCACTATCATTTTTATTACAGACAGAATCCAAAAACAACAACATTTATTTTATCCGGCCCCTTTTAATCTTTTACTTTTTCGCGTTGTATCTGACAGGCAACCTCTACAGCAGGGAGCCTAATTTGTAGTTAAGAGTCAAAAAAAAAAAAAGAAAATAACTGATCATCCGGGTTGACTTGGAGCCTTTTAAGCTTCAATAGTTTGTGTTGTATCTCACAGGCCACTCCTACGGTATCCAAGCCGAAAAAGCTTCCTGTAGTGGAAAAATCTTACGTGGTGATGATTACTGGCAAAGCCAACAGAACTCTGCTAACGACGGAGATTTTGGATTTCTGTGGAGTCTTGCCCATTTACAACACAAAACGGTATCCGGACACGAGTGCTACGAATGGAGTTGCCGGTAATGAAGGAAATAGTTAATATTACTCTTTGTTTAACATAATTAAGTTCTGCCGACTGAAACAGTTAAAGACTTCCTCACTAATTACAGGCACATCGCGTAGAATTTCAAGTCCATTGAGGTCAACGAAAAAATTTCCGTCCGGGTAGGGGGTTAGTGTTTTGTCTTTTTGAAATGAAGAATACATGAGGTAAAAGCAACAAAACGGTCAAAGAGTACTGGAAACAAGTTTGAAAAATAACAAAGATGGCGGCTGGAGTCGCAGAGAAATTTTTTTGGCTTTCCAAGACGTTTTCTGAAAGGTTTCTTCGCGTTTCTACCCCTCACAAGTTCAGGTCCAATTTAAAGGGAAACAACAAAAAACCAGTTTTTATCGTATTCCTTGGTTTAAAAGACTTTGGTGGTTTAAAGACAGACAAGAGATGTCACGATTTCAGGTGATACCCAGATCGCAATTTCTGTAAACTTTGGTTTTAATCGTTCCGTGAAAATCTACGCACGCGAAACTCCATGCAAAAATTTTGGTTGATTTTTAGCGCAAAAAAACCAGTGAAATCCGATAAGCTGGCATTAATCGAAGGTAAGATCTTGAATTTGATGTTTCTTGATACGCTGTGGCTATATGGTCGGTAACCGTCCATATAGCCACAGCGTTCTTGATATTTATATTCCGGTGGTACCCATTGAGAATTGGTTACGAGTAACTCACAGTCAGAGACAAAAAACTCTCAAGTCGCTTCAGTCTTATTATTCCACCATATTTTAAAGACCTAATCGTGGCTTGAATGCGGCTCTAGCCTGTTAAAGTCCTGGATGTGACCTAGACTACCAGCAGTCTCTCTTTTTTCTTGGTCCGTCCAGCAAAATGCTGCCGACCTTGAGTCTTGCGTCTCGCGGCTTCGCCGCTCAACGCTCGCGTGCACGCGTGCACTCCGCTTACTAAATCTGAAGAAAAAGAGAGACTGCTCGCAGTCCAGATGTGACCAGACGTTCTACGTGACGAATAAATCGTGCAGTGGAAATAGCACTCGCGTCCTATAGATTTTATTGGTTCACTTCTCTGCTCTGTGATATTGGTTCATTTAAGGGTGGATCGAGTGACCCACATTTCCCCTTTTTCTGTAAAACTCTGTTTTATTTTAAAGAATTCATACCAAAATAAATAGTATCTTTATAGCTCCCCCCTCCACACCCCTTTCTAAATTTTCTGGATTTAAAAACGGTTGGCTTTCAATAATGTAATGATCAATACCATAATTAACCGGTGTCGGCAGTTAACCCTTTATGGTGTAGTGAATACAGAGTCCTACATACTTCCAACTGTTTTCTTCCGTCTTCTTTCTTCTATTATTTACTACTTTAAGTTATAATACTCGTATCATGTATTTTGAGTAAAGATGCGGACAATCTGATTGGGGTATCCATTCATCCATTCTAGTCACAACCAAACAGGAACATGTGTCACTAAGTGGTAGTTTTTATTGTTGTTGTTGTTATTATTATTATTGTTATTATTATTATTATTATTATTATTATTATTATTATTATTGTTGTTGTTTTTTTTGTCTTCCACTAGTTACGGGCTTACGGTCACGTTTTCTCGGAGGCAAAGATAATTTCTTAAAATGTTTTAAGCAACCTTTTTTCGGAATTGTTTATTGCCAAAAGTTTCCGATTATCGCCAGCATTATTATTATTATCATTATTATTATTATTATTATTATTATTATTATTATTATTATTATTATTATTATTATTATTGTTATTAAGAATGACTGACCGAAGAAAATTAAAACCTAGACGCAAATGGACGGTACAAATGAATGCCGATCTTCTAAGCTGCAAATGAGAGGCCGTGGCTATGACACTATTGGAACAACCACCGCTGGATGGTAATGGGAGGAAAAATGGCTATATCAGAATTATGAATGAGCTTTGGGATGCGAAAGGATATGTAGCCTGAGAATCAGGCCTTCCTCTGTCCCTTTTTCGCTTCCATCTTTCCCCTTTTCCCCAGAAACGTCTGTTACTCAGGCTAAAGGATATGGAGATCTCGGACTCTCAAGCCAGAACTTACGTGATCAAGCAGCTAGACTTGAGAAAAACGCTGGAAGAGGGCTCAGAAAACCTATCGTGGGAGGCACGGATGCAAATTTAAGAGTTCTCGCTCAAAAAAACGAGTCTATGGATGCACAAACCGGAGGAAACTCGACAGGCTTTACTTCTTTGCCCATAACTGACAGATTTATCTATTCTTGAAGAAATAGGGAGTGAATCACAATATGCTAATCTTTAGCCTCATCAAACTAAGATTTACATACAGTCAGTACTCCTCAAATCCCAAACCATTTAGGCGATGTCATAACATTATGCTTACAACGAGATCGCAACCTGGAGAAAAAACGTATTTGTTGTGCCATACGTAGGAAGGGATTTTATTGATAGTGACTTTGCATATTAATTAATGACGAGAAATTTGAAATAATACAGATTTTTTCAAATGGGTTTCTCGCTATACAATGGCAGTGGAAGAAAAGGGACCCAGATTTTTGGAAAAAATCGTTTTCGATGAAGAAAATAACGTGGCAGTTTTTCGGGTTTCTGCTCACAACAATGTAAATGTCGCCGATTTCTACCATGACTTTAATCTGGTGAATTTTTGCACCCTTTCGTGAGATATGAAAGACATGGAGAATTGGCGTGTATTCGCAGGGAAAACTCTGAAATAAACTTATCTCTTGATGGGTGGCTGAATTCACTTAACCTCCATAGTTTCGATGTTTAATTTTGGTATCCCTAGGCCTAGGTGAGAAACCAAAACATCAAAACTGTAAGATGAGGTATGTAAACTTTAAAGGCTGTTTATGTGCATTCTAACCGTTTTATCGATAAATTCCCATACAAATCCCTATAATTTGACTTCCGGTAGGTTTTTTTGAGGCTGGGTACCCTGTGGCGTAGCAGGTACTTGGAATTTGTGGGCGCAAGAAAGAACGGGATGCGCGAGGGAGTCACGCGTGTCTCCGTAGCGCACCCGTTCTCGCATGCGCCTGCTGCATAGGCTAGAGCAGCCACCTATTAAGCACACACCAAATTATTAGAGGAATTAGGGGTAAAGAAAATGGATGGATCAGGAAATGGGTGTCTCGGGAAGGACAGAAACCTTTCAAGTTGAATGGCAGGGGGAACGAAAGTTTTTTTTCCGTAAGGATATTAATTCCTTGAAGAAGAACAACAAAGCTCTTATAGTAATTATGTGAATGTCTCCGTTTGTTCTTTACCACCCAAATGAAAACTTGTTCCAGGGGCACCCAACGACTTTTTTCTGTGAATATCTGTTCGGAGAAGCAAATATTGCCTAGAATTTTCTATTACTTGAGGACGGCTAAAAATTTCTAAATGACCGTTCCTTTTATGTACGTACAATTTTCGAAGCTTATCTAATAAATTCCCTTTGACTTTTTGAATTTTAATTTTTCACATTTCACTGCCCATTTTAGGCCATTTTTTATACAGAAAAGGGAACCTAAAATTTTCGGATTCAAAAACGTAATGTGGAGAGGAATCAGAAAAATTCCTACTTTCGTAATAGCGTAAATTGCCTCCAAATTTTTCGGAAAAATAATATTGAAGCCCTTGTAATCTCAAAAGGACTCAAGTTCCCCTAGGATCACTGAATGCATCAAGAGATCTAAACGTACTCTGGATAGCCTAAAACGTGTTTCATGCATTTAGGAGGAAGCCGTCGTTGGGTGCCACGCCCTGTTGTTAGCTCTTGCTCACAAATTGTTTTATAATATTTCTTTTTAATTGCTGCGCATTACAAGTCCGCTGTATTTCTGAATCCATACCTAAAATCTATAAGAAAACTTAAGAAGGACTCTAAGCGGGTAAATATAATTTTCATTCATACTGAGAATAATTTAGGGCCCGCTACAGACAGAAAACTGAGGAAGATTCATTTCGATATAAAACAAAGTCTGCACAAAGAAATCAAAACTAGCAGGCGAATAAAAAAGGTAAACGCGGGTAACAGCATTTATTTAATAAGACACTGAATTATTTTAAACCGGAACAAGAGAGAATTTGTTTCAATTAGTGTTAAATTTTGCTAGACCATGTATCACATTTTCATATCTTTAGCGTTTACTCTTTTCGTCAGTTCACCACGCTACATGGTATATATTTTAGCGAGCCTGAAACAATATAGATAAAAACAATGTAGCTAAGTGAGCAGTTAACAATATATTTGAAAAGGTCTAGTTTAGAAAAGAGCTTAAATGTTGCCTACTGATTATAAGCACAAGAGTAACAAACGACCCAAAAACGGTGACAATCCAAATGCTCTGTACCTGTATTGCAGGTGGTTTCCCTTACCCATATCTCCCGGTCTAAACAAGGTCGGAAATGGTTATGGTTATAGGACTTGTTAATCGCGGTCTTCTCTCACAAGAGATTTTGGACTTCTGTGGGGTATTGCCGATCTATTATACAAAACGATACACCCTGGAACCTACTCATGACTCGAACAATGTAACTGCAAGTAAGAGGCTAGATTTGTAGGGCTATCCGTTGATTAGTGCAGATCATTTCTTAGATTTGTGACAGAGCCTATCTATTAAGAACTTAAATGACTAAGAAAAAAAATTGGACTAGGGAATTACGCTGTCAATGGTAAATAGTAAAACGGGCATATATGAGAGAGATTTTTCCGCTGATTCGTGACAAATTCGGAACATTCTGGGATATATTAAACGCATTCGTTTTGCCGTTTACACGCAGAAGGGTAAATCCGAAATGAAAACGTTCCGGTTTGGTCAAGAGATTGTGAACTCTGAAGTTAAATTGCCGGAATATTTTAAAAAGCCAAAGAACCTTCTCCGAATAACTGATATGTGTAAACGCCTGCGAATTGTAATCAGTTTGCAAACACTGATGAATCCAGTGAAGGTACTGAGGTAATATTTTTAAGTTCTTAACATTTAGCTTATAAATTACCTTCTCGTAGACTTTCTTCTAA